TTGACAAGACCTATAATAACTGACGTAAAGATTGCTAACATTGTTAAATCCGTATTATCTAATGTAACTTATGACGGGAGATGTGTGTAAGGGGGGGGGGCGAGCTATCTTTACATGGAATACTGCGTTACACTGCAGCTGAGATACAGCATGTCAAAGGGAGGTAATTTTTCCCCATAGTTTCATAAAGGGACATAACTGTTACCTTGACAGAAATAAACTTACCTTTGGTTTATTGGGAAATGAGGGGGGGGGGGTGTCTTTTAAGAGCGGTTGCGTTTTTTTGTGCGTCGTTTTTCATTGCCTGAGGTTGTTAAAACTGCATGCTGGCAACCGCCCGATAATTAATTAAAATAAAAAAAAAATACACAGAAAATAGATGTTAAGTGTTTAAGCCGTGGGAATCAATATACAGACATAAACATTATGTGTGGTTAGCTACGTCTTTAGCTTGTCAATATACAGACATGAACATTATGTGTGGTTAGCTACGTCTTTAGCTTGTCAATATACAGACATGAACATTATGTGTGGTTAGCTACGTCTTTAGCTTGTCAATATACAGACATAAACATTATGTGTGGTTAGCTACGTCTTTAGCTTGTCAATATACAGACATGAACATTATGTGTGGTTAGCTACGTCTTTAGCTTGTCAATATACAGACATGAACATTATGTGTGGTTAGCTACGTCTTTAGCTTGTCAATATACAGACATGAACATTATGTGTGGTTAGCTACGTCTTTAGCTTGTCAATATACAGACATGAACATTATGTGTGGTTAGCTACGTCTTTAGCTTGTCAATATACAGACATGAACATTATGTGTGGTTAGCTACGTCTTTAGCTTGTCAATATACAGACATGAAGATTATGTGTAGTTAGCTACGTCTTTAGCTTGTCAATATACAGACATGAAGATTATGTGTAGTTAGCAATGTCTTTAGCTTGTCAATATACAGACATGAAGATTATGTGTGGTTAGCTACGTCTTTAGCTTGTCAATATACAGACATGAAGATTATGTGTGGTTAGCTACGTCTTTAGCTTGTCAATATACAGACATGAAGATTATGTGTGGTTAGCTACGTCTTTAGCTTGTCAATATACAGACATGAACATTATGTGTGGTTAGCTACGTCTTTAGCTTGTCAATATACAGACATGAAGATTATGTGTAGTTAGCAATGTCTTTAGCTTGTCAAATTAGCTTCCATTTCGAGATTACACTACAAAGAGACTTTTTTTTTATATAGACATACAAGTTAACTCTCAAAATAAAAACACATTAAAAGAAGTCGAAAATATTCTACTACTATTTTGAGAGACTGGAAATATTATGAAATGACATCATATAGTGAAGCGTTAAAGCACAAATAAGGTCTGTTTTAGTCTCTATTTAATCAAATTATTGTCAAGGCAAAAACCCAGTCAATGTGTCACAGGGATTTCCCTTTCTATTAATACTAATAGTTTCGCTGTCTGTCAAGAACGCTCTGTCTGACAAGAACGCTCTGTCTGACAAGAACGCTCTAGAGAAAACACAAGCAAAATAAAAACATGCACAGTAATTCGAAAAACGAAATATGACGTCGACACATTTAGCGTAGAGTAGGACATAATCTCAAACCAGAGAGTGCACACAGTAATGTAATGACGTCATTGGTTCTACATTGAAAAAAAGGAAATGTTGTCTAATCTAAATGGTTTGCGTGAAGATTTTCTTGCATACAATTCTTCGGGTAGGGGCGAAGCCCCACCCCCCGCGTAAGAACGTCTGAGCCCCCCCCCCCCCCCTCCCCAACTCAAAAGAAATTTCCTCATCGATACTCTATAATAAAATTACCGCCTAATTAATGTGTCTAATCTAAAAAGTGGTTTTCTTGCAATGGGACGGTAGACATGTTTTTTTTGGGGGGGGGGGGGGGGTGTGTGGAGGGGTGGGGGGGTGTGTGGGGGTGGGGGGGTGGTGTGTGGGGGGGTGGGTTGGTTTCAGTGTTTCTTTCAGACTTTTTCCTCCCCGGAGAGGGGTGGGGGGTACTTGAAATTTTCGGGGGCGGGGGTAGAATTTTCTGGGAGGGGGCGGACACTGGAAAAAGTATATAATTATATTTCGTTGAATGGGACGGTAGACATGCTTTTTTGGGTGGTGGGGGTGGTGGAGGGGTGGGGAGGGGTGGTGTGGGGTGGGGTGGGGGTGGTGTGGGGGGGGTGGGGGTGGTGTGTGGGGGGGGGGTGGTGTGTGGGGGGGTGGGTTGGTTTCAGTGTTTCTTTCAGACTTTTTCCTCCCCGGAGAGGGGTGGGGGTACTTGAAATTTTCGGGGGCGGGGGTAGAATTTTCTGGGAGGGGGCGGACACTGGAAAAAGTATATAATTATATTTCGTTGAATTGGACGGTAGCCATGTTTTTTTTTTGGGGGGGTGGGGGGTGGGGGGCGGTGTGTGGAGGGGGTGGTGTGTGGGAGTGAGGGGTGGGGGTGGTGTGTGGTGTGTGGTGGGGGTGGGGGTGGTGTGTGGTGGGGGTGGGGGTGGTGTGGGGGGGTGGGGGGTAGGGTGGGGGTGGTGTGTGGGGGGGTGGGTTGGTTTTAGTTTAGAGAAAAGAGACAGCACTATCAGCCTAGCGCCCGTTGTACCCTTCCTCAACGGGCCATTTTTCTCGTCTATAATAATAGTTTCGCTGTCTGACAAGAACGCTCTGTCTGACAAGAACGCTTTGTCTGACAAGAACGCTCTAGAGAAAACACAAGCAAAATAAAAACATGCACAGTAATTCGAAAAACGAAATATGACGTCGACACATTTAGCGTAGAGTAGAACATAATCTCAAGGCGGAAAGTGCACACAGTAAAATGACGTCATTGATTATCGCGTAAACATTGAAAAAAAGGAAATGTTGTCTAATCTAAATGGTTTGCGTGAAGAGTTTCTTGCATACAATTCTTCGGGTAGGGGCGAAGCCCCACCCCCCGCGTAAGAACGTCTGAGCCCCCCCCCCCCTCCACAACTCAAAAGAAATTTCCTCATCGATACTCTTTAATAAAATTACCGCCTAATTAATGTGTCTAATCTAAAAAGTGGTTTTCTTGCAATGGGACGGTAGACATGTTTTTTTTTTGGGGGGGGGGGGGGGTGGGGTGGAGGGGTGGGTGTGGGGGGGTGTGGGGGGGGGGGTTGGGGTGGGGTGTGGGGGGGGGGGGGGGGGTGGTGGTGTGTGGGTTGGTTTCAGTGTTTCTTTCAGACTTTTTCCTCCCCGGAGAGGGGTGGGGGTACTTGAAATTTTCGGGGGCGGGGGTAGAATTTTCTGGGAGGGGGCGGACACTGGAAAAAGTATATAATTATATTTCGTTGAATGGGACGGTAGACATGTTTTTTTTGGGGGTGGGGGGTGGTGGAGGGGTGGGGGGGGGTGGTGTGTGTGGGGGGTGGGGGTGGGGGGTGGTGTGTGTGGGGGGGGGGTGGGGGTGGGGGGTGGGGGGGGGGTGTGGGGGGGGTGGGTTGGTTTCAGTGCTTCTTTCAGACTTTTTCCTCCCCGGAGAGGGGTGGGGGCACTTGAAATTTTCGGGGGCGGGGGTAGAATTTTCTGGGAGGGGGCGGACACTGGAAAAAGTATATAATTATATTTCGTTGAATGGGACGGTAGACATGTTTTTTTTTGGGGGGGGGGGTGGGGGGTGGGGGGGCGGTGTGTGGAGGGGGTGGTGTGTGGGGGTGAGGGGTGGGGGTGGTGTGTGGTGGGGGGTGGGGGTGGTGTGTGGGGTTGAGGGGTTGGGTTGGGGGTGGTGTGTGGTGGGGGGTGGGGGGTGGTGTGTGGGGGTGGGGGGGGTGGGGTGGGGGTGGTGTGTGGGGGGGGTGGGTTGGTTTTAGTTTAGAGAAAAGAGACAGCACTATCAGCCTAGCGCCCGTTGTACCCTTCCTCAACGGGCCATTTTTCTCGTCTATAATAATAGTTTCGCTGTCTGTCAAGAACGCTCTGTCTGACAAGAACGCTCTAGAGAAAACACAAGCAAAATAAAAACATGCACAGTAATTCGAAAAACGAAATATGACGTCGACACATTTAGCGTAGAGTAGAACATAATCTCAAACCAGAGAGTGCACACAGTAATATGATTATCGCGTAAACATTGAAAAAAAGGAAATGTTGTCTAATCTAAATGGTTTGCGTGAAGAGTTTCTTGCATACAATTCTTCGGGTAGGGGCGAAGCCCCACCCCCCGCGTAAGAACGTCTGAGCCCCCCCCCCCCCCCCTCCCCAACTCAAAAGAAATTTCCTCATCGATACTCTATAATAAAATTACAGCCTAATTAATGTGTCTAATCTAAAAAGTGGTTTTCTTGCAATGGGAAGGTAGACATGTTTTTTTTTGGGGGGGTTGGGGGGGGGGGGGGAGGGGTGGAGGGGTGGGGGGGGGGGTGGTGTGTAGGGGTGGGGGGTGGTGTGTGGGGGGGTGGGTTGGTTTCAGTGTTTCTTTCAGACTTTTTCCTCCCCGGAGAGGGGTGGGGGTACTTGAAATTTTCGGGGGCGGGGGTAGAATATTCTGGGAGGGGGCGGACACTGGAAAAAGTATATAATTATATTTCGTTGAATGGGACGGTAGACATGTTTTTTTTTGGGGGGGTGGGGGGTGGGGGGGCGGTGTGTGGAGGGGGTGGTGTGTGGGGGTGAGGGGTTGGGGTGGGGGTGGTGTGTGGTGGGGGGTGGGGGTGGTGTGTGGGGGTGGGGGGTGGGGTGGGGGTGGTGTGTGGGGGGTGGGGGGTGGGTTGGTTTTAGTTTAGAGAAAAGAGACAGCACTATCAACCTAGCGCCCGTTGTACCCTTCCTCAACGGGCCATTTATCTAGTGTGAGTCAAAGAGTAAGTGAGATGTGTATAGTTTCATATCAAACAGGATCTGACCTTTCAGTGGGGTTCAACTGGAGTGTATGTGTTGTTGTGTGTTGTTTTAAGAAGTCAGTTTATGGAATATGAACTGTAGAGTTTGTTTATTTTTGTTGTAGATCAAGTGAATAATTAGAGCAATGCAGCTCCGCATCAAGGCGGAAGATGTGGCCCCTGTTGGCTTTGAGCAGGGGGCAAAGACAGATGACCACCTGACCACACCGATGGGGAGGAAGAAACGCTTGATCAAGTGTCGTGACAAAAATGCTGTTGTAAGTTTCACGGATTTTTCTTAGAGTTATATACTCAAATTGTGCTTTGAGATAGTATTGTATTCTATTCACTAGCAAAAAAAATCAAGTTGTTACTTAAAAACTAAGTTATTCTCTCAATTTCAATAACAATGTTCATCACATTAAGTTTATTTGTTTTTTTTTTAATAGAAATTGATTTTTATCACTTTAAAGCATGATAATTTAATGCTCTTGATTAGGCATATATTATTTTAGTGTATTTTGCTTAATACAGATTGATGTATTTCTCTTTAAAAAGTTAAAATGATTAGCTCCCTATACAGTTGTATGATATTTGCGTATTTTGTTATAGGTCTATCAAAATTCTATATTTCCAGAACAAGCAGGTTACGCTAACCTCTGGCAAAAAGTTGCGCAAGGAGAAGACACAAGAGGTGAAGATGATGAACGGGCTGACCAAGTGCAGTCCTCAGGTGAACGGGGACGTGGACCTTATAACCTCCACCCCACACCAGCCCTCTGCAGCAAGGCGGAAAGGTATGACACCATGGTCCAGGTCTCTCAGTTCTTATTGATGGTCCCACACACACACACTAGTAATTTAGTATACATGGAATAGCAGAAAACAATATACTGAAAATACTTAATGTTTGTTTACTTCTTACTCAAACTTACTGGTTAGATGTACTCAGTTTAACTGGAACAGCTATTATAATTTAAGAATGCCTTTGGGATATGATTTGGGTTAAATCTGTAGTTGAGGTATCGTCAATGTTCTCTCTAAGAGGAAAAAGCTAATGTGCAACTTGTAATTTCTGTGCGCGGTGTTCTAAAAGTCTTATACAAGGATATACGTATTTTACAAAATTTCTGAGCGGCAGCTCAAAACTACTGCGCGGCCACGCAACCGCGCAGCTTAGAGGGAACATTGGGTATTGTTATGTGTGATAAGAGTTATACACGTTTAGGTATTTCTAATACAATTGTTTGTTTAGTATGTAAAGTGATCTTGCATGCAATATTCCCTCTAAGTTGCACATATGCTAAGTTTTTGTTAAATACATTAAACCTTGTATAAGTAACTTTAGAGCATCACACTCACATAAAGATGTGTTTTCTCCTTGTTTATAATGTATTATTTTTTTCCAGGTCGGAGGCCTAAGTGCAAAAAAGCAGATGAAGCTGATATTCCAAATTCTAGTCCACCTAGGACATCAGTGCTAGGCACCATTTTCTCACCTATTTATCAGCCATTTCATGCACATACAGGTAGGCTGTTGCTATTTATTTATTGCAGAATTAAATTTAAGCCACTGATAGCTGTACAATTATTATTTTTTTATTAGTACATAAATTTAAAAATCTAGGAATAGTACTTCACTTGAAGGGGAGATAATTTAACTGCATTTGGGACTTCACTTTTTATCATGTAAAATAAAACATGAACTATGCCTACTTATATTAGTACATAACTAAATAGCTCCACTGTGCAACAATTACAGGTCTTGTCTACTCTTAACTGACTGAATGAGTCATGCCATAAAAAGATCATACTTTATCTATGAAAAACAGAAATTATTCTTGTATAAAGATTAGCTGACTCCTCCCCTTTTTATTTTTAATCCCAAAGTAGCTCAGTGATTTCTGTCCTCAAGATGCTAACCCTCATTGACACTGGTGTCCCTTTAGCAGCCTTGACCTTGCTTTGTTTATCTGAACCCACAGACCAAGAGTGCAGCAGTTCAGTGACAGACCTGGAGGCCATAGCCAGGGTGCTTGACCTGGATGATGTCATGATAGAGACAGTGATAGAAAGTACTATTTCCAGTGGGTTGGCTTTTCTTTATTCATTAGGGAAAATTCTTTTGTTTAAAATGTGTTCTAGGTTGTGTGTCGGTGGTATTCTTATAAACAGACTAGTTGTAACAGTCAGATAGCCTTAATAACTTATAATCACAATGTTGTAGTGGTATGTATATAATGCCTGACTTAAAAGATAGTAATTTTAAGATGAGGCAATAGTGATAGGTTGTCTGGGTAATATTTTTATGATATGGGGTTTTTTTTCATGCAGTGTTACGTTAGTGTTGTTAAAAAAATGTTGATGTTGTGTAATTAACTTGTTTATGTTATGTCGGTGAGAAATCTGTTTACATTGTGTAGGTAAAGAAAATGTTTATGTTGTTTAAGTAAAGAAAATGCATATGCTGTTTAGATAAAGAAAATGTTTGTGTCGTGTAGGTAAAGAAAATGTCTGTGTTGTGTAGGTAAAGAAAATGATTATGTTGTATAGGTAAAGAAAATGTTTAGGTAAAGAAAATGTTTATGTTGTATAGGTAAAGAAAATGTTTATGTTGTTTAAGTAAAGAAAATGTTTAGGTAAAGAAAATATTTATGTTGTACAGGTAAAGAAAATGAGGATCCCACCATGGACGTGTCTCCAGAGGCTGACTGCAAAGAGCTCCTCATGGTGGAGGACAACAACAACAACAGCAGCAACAACAACAGCACGACCACAACCATCGCTGCCACCAACACCGCCACCATCTGCAGCAGCCACCTCCACATGGTGGCCACCACCAGCAGCACCTGCAGCGTGGAGATGCACAACCAGCACAACCACCACATCTACCACAACCCCGGCTGCTGCAGCACAACCATGGGAGTGCAGACGGCGGAGTGTGGGACGTACGTCAGTGAGGAGGAGGAAGGATCTGAGGAGGGTTATGAATGGGATGCTGAGTTACAAGACCCGTAAGTTTATAAATGTGCTATATGAGCAGGGTCCGTAGTGGACCTTGAATCCTTGAAAAACCCTTGAATTCCAAAAAAACATCTCAAGGCATTGAAAAACCCTTGAATTTCCCCAAAAATGAGCAAAAACCCTTGAATTTTATAGGTAAACCTTGAAAACCGTGCGAAAATCGAATTTAAAAAAAAATTTCAATTCTGATGGATCTAAACTTTTTCTAACTTTTTTTTTTGCCGTGGATCTGCGTTAACAAATGGAAACTGAATCAGCTTAGTGTGACCAAGTTCTGTTTCAATTTTCAACATTCATAGATACATGTACTCTAAATGGTTGTCTATCTAAATCTAATTGAGAACATGATAGGCTGGACATTTTTTTCATAGAACAGCTTGGTAGCAAAATTTCTTATGTGAACATTTGGAAAATTGTTAGAGATCTATTGCTTCTGTCACATGGTCAAGCCAGTGTTGAAAGAGGTTTTTCTGAAAATAGAAGTTGGAGGAGTGTCATTTGACACCATAGATACTGATTGCAAAAGGGATTATGCTGGACTCTCAGACAATCTCCTGACTTAGATAATTTTGTAATAACACCAACATTATTTCAAAAATTGTGTGTGCAAAAAACATACATCACCCTCATTGTAATGCCCATTAGTGGTAGTTTATACCTTGAAATTCCCCCCAAAATCACCTTGAAAACCTTGAAAAAGCCTTGAATTTTCTTTTGGGATTTGGCTATGGACCCTGTATATGTATATGAAATACTCTTGCTGTATGTGTGTGATACTTGTACATACATCTGTGTTGTATTAATAACTTCATATGTGTGTGGTATCGGCTCAAGTCTGATGACAGAAGAAGGAAACTGTGACAGCTGACCATATTATTTCCCTGAATGCCGAGGTCATTGAAACAGATGCCTTGTATTTGGATTCATAGTGGAAAACAAGATGATAATGATCTGATATGCCCAGTTGTCAGCTTGTAGCACTCATAAGTGTTTGTCACTCATGTATAGCAATCCTGGGGCTCATCCACAGCTCACTGTGAAAATGGTTTGAACTTAACAGCAACAAAACATTTTCAGGTATGCCATCATTAGAAGCTTACCTCCCCTGACAGATGAACTGAGGGCCAGAGTTCCAGCCCTTCCATTGAAAACTCGCAGCTCACCGGAATTTTCTTTAGTGCTTGATTTGGTAAGTTCACTCATATTTATTTTTTTGTAAAAAAATTTCAAAAGGCCTCTTAATCAAACTCATCTATTACGCACTAAAACTACTACAACGGTTTTTCAATGCTTCTCATTCTTAGTCCCTCACATCACAAAATATTTTGTATAAGCTTATATTTACACATACAGTGGGAGGAACTATAGAAAGAATTTTAAAAATAAATTTCACTACTCTGAAGTTTGTGTTTATTTTTAGCAATACATCATGGATTAGCTGATTAGCACAATAGGTGATTAAAACTTAATTTCCAGGTGAATATAATTTGTTGATCTGTTGTCTTGCAGGATGAGACTTTGGTCCACTGTAGCTTGACTGAGTTAGAGGATGCTGCATTTTCTTTTCCTGTTTTGTTTCAAGAGGTTTCATATAGAGTAAGTATTGTGGTAGAGTTTTGGTTACGGAAATTCTTCTGACCCCTATTATTTTATGTAGAGTAAGTTTAGTATTCTACTAAATTTTCATGGGAAGAAGCTGTTTAAAATCTTAGTTTTTTTTTTTTAATCCATCTTTTATCATCAGAGATGCCTGTTTAGTTCACAACCTTTACTATTATACTTAATACTGTTTTTATTGTGCAAACGTTAACAAATGTTATCTGTTTTATCTGAATGTCATGTCTGTTTCTTAAAAAATCCAGGTTTTTGTGAGAACAAGGCCATTTTTCCGTGAGTTTTTGGAAGCTGTGTCACAACACTTTGAGGTGATTCTCTTCACAGCATCAAAGAAAGTTTATGCAGACAAACTGATGAACTTGTTGGATCCAGAGAAAAAGCTCATCAAGTAAGTGTTGTATGATCAACCTTCAGGCCACTTTGTAACTGTAGCATGTAGTGAAGACATTGAACTTTGAACTTTTTGTTGGATTTGAACTTCTGATTTAAAACATGACTAGCAGTTATGTTGCAGTATAAAAACAAAAATATATCAGAAAAATAAAATCAATTATTGAAACGTCAGAAGATGAGACATAAACAACATTCAGTCTCATACAACTATATGTCAAATTTCTTAAGTGTTGTCATTCCCCACCCCCTCTCTTTGATTGGGTCTTAAGAAGGGTCTGTAGAAGGCTTTGGTCTTAAAGGCTTTTAAATCATATTGAATTAAGTGACATTAACTTTTACCACATAATCAACATTTATGTATTAAAGTTCCTGTAACATACCATTGTTACTTGTATGTGTGATTTGTCTTCTAGGCATAGGTTGTTTAGGGAACATTGTGTGTGTGTCAATGGGTACTACATTAAAGACTTATCCATACTGGGACGTGATCTAGCTAAGACTGTTATTATTGATAACTCACCACAGGCATTTGGTTATCAGGTGAGTTGGCTTTTTAAATAAAAATTACATTCTGTATTGTAGGTCACTCCAGGGTAATTTAAAACCGTTTAATATAAGGGAATTAAGTTTAGAAAATATTGAGATGCTTTATAAATTAAGATAAAAAACTTAGATTTGGGGTATATTTGGGATAAGCTAATAACACTTTTCTTGACCTCATGGTAAGATTTTGAAAAACTGCTTTGCTTGTGTTCTGAATATCACAATTAAAGGGGGATAATTTATTTTAAAAAAAATCTTTTTGCCAAAATTGACCAGGAAAAGCTATTACCAAATAGTCTTTTTTTTTTTCAAATAACTTTTTAGTTTAGCAAACCATTTTTTATAAAATAGCATCAAACATGGCATTCTAATCAGTATTTAAATAAAAAAAAAGTTAATAGACTATGCAAATTTTAACAAGTGCTAAATACATTAAGGCTAACCTTCTGTTAGAATTGCACAAAGAACATTTTAGAGAAGAGCACTTTTTTAAAAAAAATCTAAGGTATATATTTTTTTTTAGCTGGACAAGATATGTTTTTTTCAAAACCAACCCAAATTTTTTCAACTATTTGAAGATAACATTACTTCCACATTACGGTAATGTTCCTATACTTATTCTCTTATATTAATAATAAATTTCAATTTTTTCAGCTGGACAATGGGATCCCTATAGAAAGTTGGTTTGTAGACAAGGATGATAAGGAATTGTTGAAGGTTCTTCCCTTTCTAGAGGAGTTGCGAGTTAAGGTAATGATGAATCTCTGCTGTAACTTTTACATAAAATTGAGTATTAATGATTAGGAGCTCTCACTGTGTACTATTGCCCTCCCTCATGAATTTTTTTATAAACACTACCTTGAGTTATTTTATTTTTTTAAGCAAAAATATAACATGGTGTTTATTATTATAAACCTCTAGAACCAAGATGTGGGATTTTAAACAAAAATATAACATGATGTTTGTTATTATAAACCTCTAGAACCAAGATGTGAGACCACAGATCAGAGATCGCTACCGCTTACACACGCTACTTCCACCATAAAGGCGGCCACTGTCGTATTCTCATTAGAGGGGCAGCCATGCGAGGTCAAGGCATGAACAGGCAAAGGAAAACGCAAGGACCACTGCAGCCGTCAGTGTTGTTTCATTTTTATTTCAATTGTTTGTTACTACACTTTGAAATCTATTTAAAGCCAGTCTCATGTAGCTCTCACTCACTGAGTTTAAGGAGATTATAATTGTCATGGTTTTTTTTTTAAACTGTTTGAAGCTACATAACAAATGTTCATGTTATTTAAATTACTGTGCTTTTGTTTGGAAAAAAAGAGTATTCTTTTTGTATTATTATAACAGTAGAGAGTTATTTGTTTTTTGTTGAGTAAATCATTGGTTATTTAGAATAATGGCAATCATTCTCTTTGGTGTGAATGATATGTCTTACTGATTTTAAAATCAGCGATGTAAGATTATTCCCTGAAACAATTCATCTATTATTTAAGTAATTGTTTTTAGCTGTTGAAAATTAATTATTTTTAGCGTTAGGTAATTTAGACCCATAGTTTAGTTTTCCCTCCTTATATTTTTAAATATAATGCAAGGTTTTTCTGTTCAATTATGATCTAAAAATGACAATCCTAATGGTCAGTAAATCTAAATAAAAATTTTTTTAGTTTATATCCTCCAGTATAAATAAATTTCTCTTTCTAAGACAGGGTTTCTGAGTGCCAGAATACCGTATCAAATTTGTTTCCTCTTTCCTAGTATAAAAACACATGTAAAATTGTTTAGTATTAGTAGTATAATTGAATGTTGTGTTGTTGCCCTCCCCTTCCCTCCACACTTTGTTGATGATAGAGTTGTTTTAAACAAAATTTTGTTGATGTTCCTTGCAAACACTGCATAGTTATTTACTATTGGATGGCAGATTTTTAAAGCATTAGTATTCTAAAATAATTTTAGAATGATTTTTAAAAAAAACTATTTAAAAAAATTTGATTATAAGATTTTTATTATCTTTTATTTTTTTAAATATGTATAAATGGTTTAAAATTCTGAACTATTAACTGTGAGTTAAATCTTGTTTGGTTTTTAAAATATATGTGATACTTCTTTTATTTAGTTACATTGTATTTTTTTCTTTATATTATTAATCTATACATAATATATACATATTAAAAAATATATATAACAAATGTGCATGTACAGCAATGTGTGCATTACTTAAATTAATTGAATGTCTGTACATAATATGTACCAAAAATTTCAAACAATTAAATTATGCTTTTCTTTTTTAGCCACCTGGTCAATTGATAACTATATTGTACTGAATTATAAACATTACTGTAAAAATGTGCATGTTGTATAGCAAAATGTATTTCCCAATGCACTACTCCATGCCCGCTCTCCATGTAACTCTGTCAGTGTTGACTAGACCAGACCCTATCTGTGTGTCATTATATTTTATTATTTGGGTGTCACTTTGTTTGTTGTGTTCATTTTCACACTAGAAATAGTAAAGGGAGGCCACTCCAGTTGACAGGATGAGTAACTCTGTCATTAAATTTGATCAAATTTTGTTAACATGGTAGATCTGTGAAAATATACGCATTTACTACACAAGATAGAATGTATTTTTATAATATGATTTCATTATGTGATTATTTTTTTATTGTATTAACATTGTTTAAATCACAGAATTATTTTCAGGGTGGTTTAAAATATTTATAATAGCTGATTATTTTTTACAGTAGTAATAAAAGTAAAGAAAAGTATTTGAAATATCTGTTTTTAAAATAACTCTTTATTTAGCACTTAATTTAATTTTAATTTAATTTTAATTTTTTTTTTCTACAATGCATCAATGGAATCAATTATTTTTAAAATAGATATTTTTTTTTTCCATTACAATCATGGCTTATACTGTACTGAAACTATTTTTGAATAATTTTACTCTGGGTTTTTATTTTTAACAGTTAACTGACCAAATCGACCAAACAACCCTAGGCTATTTAGTGTGAAACAACATCACTTTTAACTTAAAGAAGAAAATAAGTTCTAGACTGATTAAGCCTTTTCTGTTTACTCTGTACATATTCATGTGTGACCAAATAAGAATCTGTTGTACATACAACTGTACAGTGTAAAGTCACGCTTATGTCCCCTAACCTATGGTAAAAAAAGTTCTTTTTGTTTCATGTTGCTGTTTACAATATGCATTCAAAGTTTTAAAATCTGTAAAGGAAATCAATTACAATAGCTTTGAAGTGTGGAGCAAAACCATCCAGATTAAATTATATTTTTTTTCAAAGAGAATTATTGCAGTTATTAGCTTGCGTAAAGATATATATTTTTTTTTTACTTCTATGTGCTCAAATCATAGTATCCCCAATTATGGTTTTGTTTTCAATTTATTAATTTTGCTTAGTCTATATTTATTAATATAAAATTACATTTCTATTTAGGATTAATTTTGTGAGTTAAAATTTCTAGTGCTTGATTGGATCAATAATAATCACATTTTTCAATAAGTACTTTATAAAACTAAAAGCAAGCTTCAGCAAATCTTGTAAAGTAATATACAAGTGGGTAGTAATATTTTAAATGGTTTAATATGGATCCGAGGTACTAAGAGGGTTAATTTTAAAGAGAGATAGGTGGAGGAGGACTTGGCCAAATTAAATGGAAGAACATAATAACCAACATTGATGTATATAAGTTTGTATCCATGTATACAATATATTTATATATATAAATAAAAACATGTCAGCAAACTTGGTCATTGCTGAAAGAAAGTGAAAGGATGTTGTAGAAGCATTAGTTACTTTCCTGTATTGTTGAGGTACTGGATTTTTTAAAATCATTGTTTGTAGAAAAGAACAACTTGTGTTCAGAGATGTATAGTTTTAACACAAGGAACATTTAAACAGTATGTTGTGTTTATGCCTTTTTATTTTTAGTATTGTGTGATTGTAGGCTGGGTTATCCAGTAGACCTTGGTGGTCAAGACTAGCTAAAACAATTTTTAATAACTATTTATTTTCTGTGAAGATTTAAAGTTAATTTTTAATCAATTTAGAAATGTGAAAATGAATTCTTTTTAAGTATTTTTTTACTCCTTTTTAATAAAAGTGTGTGTGATATATTAATGATATATTGAGTATCAAACACCAGTGATGTTAATTAAATGTTCTGATAGTCATTAGGTAGAGCTGCAATATGTCTTTATTTGAAATATGATACTGTGTATTCTTTATTATCATTTAAAATAATTTGATGTTAAATAATAAATAGGCTTTAAAAGTCTATAGTCACCATAATCATAATATAGCATTTAGATCAGATCTTCTTAGCTTGATCTTGATTAGTTTAAATTAAAATGGAGACGATCTGATTGGTTGGTTATTTTGGTTTATATGATAAAAGTCAATATTAACATCATGGCTGACCAATGGTATACATTGCATGATATCATTGGATTTTTCATTTAACAATTTTTGTTTTCTCTTAGAAGATGGATCTTAAGTTATTTTTGAAGCTGAATCATAAAGTTTAAATCATGTATGTGCATCTATAGTATTGGAACTATTTCATTGTGTGCTTATGAAAAGTATAATATAAGTTGCGTCTGTCATGAAAATTCTTATAAGGCTGCTTAGCCTATTAGCATCATTGAATCTGTTATAAGAATGCTATTTTCAATTGACTTGTTTTTGTCACAAAACATGTTCTGAAATGTGTTTCATTTTTAAAAAATCATATTGAGCCGTACCTGTTGTCAACACCCTTGGCCTCTGCCTGTCATAGCAAGACACAGACATGATGGCCCAGTGCTGTGTATCTTGTAGGATGGCCCAGTGCTGTGTATCTTGTGGGATGGCCTCCACTTGTCTTATAGAGATATTGACAGGATGGCCCAGTGCTGTGTATCTTGTGGGATGGCCCAGTGCTGTGTATCTTGTGGGATGGCCTCCACTTGTCTTACAGAGATATGTACAGGATGGCCCAGCGCTGTGTATCTTGTGGGATGGCCTCCACTTGTCTTACAGAGATATGGACAGGATGGCCCAGTGCTGTGTATCTTGTGGGATGGCCCAGTGCTGTGTATCTTGTGGGATGGCCTCCACTTGTCATACAGGGATATGGACAGGATGGCCCAGCGCTGTGTATCTTGTGGGATGGCCTCCACTTGTCTTACAGAGATATGGACAGGATGGCCCAGTGCTGTGTATCTTGTGGGATGGCCCAGTGCTATGTATCTTGTGGGATGGCCCAGCGCTGTGTATCTTGTGGGATGGCCTCCACTTGTCTTACAGAGATATGGACAAGATGGCCCAGTACTGTGTATCTTGTGGGATGGCCCAGTGCTATGTATCTTGTGGGATGGCCTCCACTTGTCTTACAGAGATATGGACAAGATGGCCCAGTACTGTGTATCTTGTGGGATGGCCCAGTGCTATGTATCTTGTGGGATGGCCTCCACTTGTCATACAGGGTTATGGACAGGATGGCCCAGCGCTGTGTATCTTGTGGGATGGCCCAGTGCTATGTATCTTGTGGGATGGCCTCCACTTGTCATACAGGGATATGGACAGGATGGCCCAGCGCTGTGTATCTTGTGGGATGGCCTCCACTTGTCTTACAGAGATATGGACAAGATGGCCCAGTACTGTGTATGTTGTAAGATGGCCTGAAACTGAAAGCAATCATTCAATTCCAGTGAACCTTGTAACGTCCTCTATTTTATTTAAACATCACACATCCACCCCTCCCCCTTATACACTGTCATGAAAAATTAAATATACTTCACTTTTAAAAAAAAATTGTTTCATTTATTTTATGTATCATGGATTTTTATTATTGATAATGTTTAAATGCACTGGTGTTGATTTACAAAGTAATTATTTTAAATATTTCTTTGTGTTGGAATCATAAGTTTGACAATTGTATATAATGTTATCATATATCTATGTATAGCTATGTCCCTTTGATTTGCTTTGTGCCATTAATTTAAGCTATTTTGTATTTCTGGAGAATTGAATGCTAATTTTTAATTTGCAATTTCTTTCATCTTTCAACTGCGTCTTGATTTTAAATTTTTTTTTTAAATAATTATTTAATGGAAAGAACAACAGAAAGCAATTTGAAACTGATTAAGTAGATTGGGTAGCGACTTAGGTTGATCGAGTGTTATTAAGATTTGAAATGTGGGTTTTAGATGATGACTGATTTACCTGTAAAACACAAAGTGAGTTGACCCATTTGATTGTCTTCTTTTCACTTAACACTAGCTTGGTCTCAGTAGAAAGAAAAGTACAATAAAATCATTGTGAAAAATCATGAAAACATTAGTCAGTATGAACAATAAAAATATGATCAAATAGCAAACTATTTAAAACATGTATCTCCCTATAGTTTTGGTTTCCTAATGATAAAACAGTTATAATTGTTAAATTCTTAAACTTTTTTTTTTTATTAATATAAAGACTTAAACTGTTATTAAAACATCTGTGGTTTTGTAGGGCTTATAAGATTTTTTTCATTTCCACATACATGATTAAATAATTGCCTTCTATTCTAAACATTCTTAGTATTTTAGCTTTTTTTTGCATCAGTTCCTTTTGGAAAAAACATGCTTATTTAATTAACTTTAAACACCAAAGCATTTTCTGAATTTAAATTTTTTATTTAAAATAATATAATAATTAGAAAAAAATGTTATTAAAGAGGACCACAGTCTGACCATTTTTTTAAATTTGTTTTGTTTATTTCCACTTTACCTCTTCCTGTCAGCATTGTTTTTAGTTTCTCTAAACACTATTTGTTCCCTGCTTTTTTTTAAAAATAGTTTTACCACCAGTTTGAACTCTAGCCTTTTGTTGTATTAAATTTTTTTACTATTTGTGCAATAGTTGATTTCATTTAAACCATTTTTTCTGATGGTTTTATTTGTTAGAGAAAAAAGTATTGGTAAATAATTCTGGATTCTTTAGGAATTGTTCTACATTTAATATAACTACATTGGGTTGGAGCAAAAATGTAATCATAAAAAGTGTATTGATTTTGCAGAGTATTATACCATTATGAGTTGCAAAGATGTATCGCCTGACTTACATTAGTATTTATTGTTACTGTAAAAAAAAGTTGAGGGTATGGGGAGATCCTGTTTTAAATCAGCTTTTCATCATCATCTGTTCCTTACATTGTAGCGTTATTTTTTTTTTTAAATTTTATTTGTTAATTTAGTATTTCTGTATATCCAAATAAAGTTCACATTTGGTTCTAGCTCACACATCAGTCAAGTGGTTATTTTAAAACTCACTTTGTTCATTATACTACCTGTTGTAAGACATGCATGTTCCTATAGCTTTTTTTGTTCAGGATTTAACTTTTACAATTGGTGAAATCATAAGGGGAGGTAACTGTGAAAAATTACAAAATGGGAGATAAACTAGCACCATTTTCTTTTTGTTTTTAAACAAGTTATCACCAGTGTTACACATCATATGTCAGTAAAAAGATGTTGTTTAATTTTTTCTTTAATTTGCCATCAAAATAATCTGGTGGGCTACACTGACTAAACATGGCGACACCATGTTTCTTTTTTTCTGCATTTCTGTAATTTATTTTCAACATAATGGTTGGTTATTGTCCATCTTCACCACCTTGGTCAATATTCATATTTTTTTTTCTCTTTTGTGTTCTGCCTTGCTAGATTTCATTATTAAATAGAGTAAAAAGTCTTTTTGACTTATATTTGTGTTGTGTTATTAAACCATTATTTAAAGGTATAACTTGGAAACAACAAAATGCTTTCTTTAGAAGATTCTACTGCCTTACTGAGGATGGCATTAAAGCGCCCAATCACCAAGTTGAAAATAATTTGTTTCTCATGTGAATTGAAGGTGACAGGGTACACAATCCCTTCATAAGCTGAGGTCATAGGCACATAAACACATAAATATTTACTTTTGCCCTTCTTCCTAATTGAAAAGTGCTAATCAGATTGGCTGAAATTGTCACCTGTTTTAAATCCATTCCTTTGCCCTTCACATTTTTCCTGTGTTATTATCTACAAATGGTCAACCAGACCGGTAAAGATGTTTACAAATCCATATATGTTATTATTTTTCAAGCCAGCTCAAATTGGCCAACAGTCCAACCCCACACTATCCCTGCGTCTATCAAATTACAGTACAGTAACCTGACATGTATGGTCATAGAAAAAAACTTTTAACTATGAAACAATGTTGCTTCTTTCTGGCTTTCTCTCCATTCTTTAGAACAAAATTATAAAGTCATAAAACAAAACTGATATAAGGCGTGTGCCTGCATCCCAACCTCATTCATAAACATGTTAAGTCTCAGAAAGCAGGACTGCTTCGAATCCGGGTTCAAGTCAGTAGACCGTCCCTAAGTCCACCCAACTCTGATGGGTACCTAACTCACGACTGGGCATAGTGCTGACCACACTATCTCTTCATATGCCGAGGTCACAGAAACAAGTGAACTCTACTTCACTTGCCCTATAGACCGTCAGGTTTGAAAAGGGAACTTGACTTACTACTACTCAGAAAGCAACTTTCTTGTTTGCTGTTTTAATAGCGAGAAATGGCTGATAGACACATTTTATGACGTCACTCACTACCAGTTGTAAAGACCTAGCGATCCATTAGGCAGATGAATTAGAATTCATGTTTCTTGAACTCGGCATAATGTGGTCAGCACTATGCCCAGCCGCCTTTACTTTCCCTGACATGAGTTAGGTACCCATCGGAGCTGTGTGGACTCTGTTGTACTCGTAAAATTTGATGCAGCACATAGGTTGTAATTGATTTTTAAAGTACCCTCTGTCTGATAAGACAAAAGAATAGAACTGCGCTACAACGTGAAGGGGGCTTATTTTAACAGTCAAAGATGATAAACAACATGGAAGTTTAGTCATTGAATGGCGTTACAGTTTTAATTACGTCAATTTAGAAAAGTTTGGGGGAGCCTTATTAACGAAGAAAACGGCCTTTTTCTGCGACTGGGCATATAGATGGATGTAGTAGCCTATGTTTTCAGAGCTCGACCCTTTTGGGCCATGTATAGAAATGATATTACATTTCAGTGGCGTAGCGGGGGGGGGGACGACATATGTCCCCGGGCGCCGACCTTCCTTAGGGGGGGGGGGGCGCCAAAATCGGTTGGAACAACAAATTGAAAGTTTGAGGGGGGGGGGGGGGGGTTGCGAATGAAAAGTTCGAAGGGGGGGGGGGGGGTGCAAATCGAAAGTTTGTCCCCGGGCGCCGGGAAAGGTCGCTACGTCTCTTGTTACATTTTTCGTCTTTAACTCAAAAAAGTAAGACCTTTCTGAAATTTCTGATTAAACTTTTACACGGTGTCAAAAGCATTTATTAATTTCCCCATTGCTTCGTTTTTTAACATAAAAATATTTAGTATATTATGCTTATGCAAGAGGGAGTAGGTGATTGTAACCCCTTCTATGGATCCTTCCCCCCGCTCCCATATATATAAAAAATTGAGTATCGTAAAACTACTGTTGTTTTTTTTAAACCATTTTCCCTGCAAAATTTTTCTTTACCAAGTCCCACGCAAACGTGTGGATTCCACCAGTGCACCTATTATAACGGAAAATAATATTTCTTCTGATTCCCAACAACTGGGAGGGTTACACCCACAGTCTATTCATAGATAATTGCTTCCTTCTAAATTGTGTGTGTGTGTGGGGGGGGGGGAGGGGTGGTAGGCAACAACAGTGAGACATTTGAATGTATTCACGGCAAGATGGCCAGGAGAAATCCTATACATGTTGTTATGGACAGTGGGGGGAGTTGTAAGGCAATGCTATGGGTTAATGCCAGAGTTTCTTCCAGGCATCTCTTCGGGGGGGGGGGGGGCTAAGCCCTCCCGAAAAAATTCTACCGCCCCCCCCCCCCCCCCCGAACGAAATGAAATTTATATAATTTATATAGAAAATAAACACTTTTAACAGTGTCCGCCCCCCCCCCCCCCCGCCCGCCCCCGAACAAAGTCTACCGTCCCCCGAAAATTTCAAGTGCCCCCCCCCCCCCCCCGGAGAAAAAAGTCTGGAAGAAACACTGGTTAATGCAATGCACAAGTAATAGTAAACATGTGGTAGGACACATCAAAGTAATTTTATTCTTGGAGCTCTGATGTGCAATTTGGAGTTACAAATTAATGAAATGCATGCGTAAGATTGCTCAAGGGGGGACAAAAAAAATTAGTTTAATGCGTTCAAGCTTTCCTCTTCTTGGTGTGCCTCTAAACTATCAACATGGGGTAAAATTTTGAGCCATCAGCTGGCCTATTCCTATGTACCAAATGTATTTGTTTTATTGATTATGACTCAAATAATGTATCTCTAAACGTCATCACTATATATATATATATATATATATATATATATATATATATATATATATATATATATATATATATATATATATATATATATATATATATATTAATATTTATATATATATATATATATATATATATATATATCAGTGGCGTCGCTAGGTGGAGTGAATCTCATGGTGTCACCCCCCCCCCCCACTTTTTTTTTCTTTTCTCTAAACAATGTTTCTTCCAGACTTTTTTTCTGGGGGGGGGGGCTTGAAATTTTCAGGGGGAGGGGGCAGACACTGTTAAAAGTATATATTTTCTATATAAATTCCATTTCGTTCGGGGGGTGGGGGGCGGTAGACTTTTTTAGGGGGGGGGGGGGGGGAAAGAAACTCTGTAAATTTTGCTTTTGGTGTCAAATTCCCCCCCCCCCCCCCTCTCCCATAAAAGCTTTAAAGTGTTCACAATTAATACTAACGATTTTTATCCATAGACAGTTGTTAATACAGCTGGGTGTAGCATTATTTTCTCTATAGTTTGCATGTTTAGATCATGGTGTTAACCTCCAACCCATTTGACTGAATCGTCATTATGTACTTAAATACGTTTCAACTCTAATTAACCATTCCTTGTTTCTTCCTTGAGCTGGCAAAAATATTTGTATTATATAAATATCTTGTAATTTTTTATATTGACATCAATTATAAATGGTGTCACCCGTTGGTGGTCAGCCGATATTTTGTTGTTTTATTTTCTACTTTTCAGTCATTCATAATGTGTGAATTCGACAGTATCAACACTGCCACTGAAAATATTTGCTTTAAAACACTATCAGTAGGCCGTTAAGGAAGATACCCTCCCCCCACCCTCCTTTCCCCCAACCCCAACCCTACTCCCCCCACCCTAGTGAAAGCAGCCTCCTATTAGTTACCTCCCCTAAGTTTAAAATAGTTTCAAACTAAATTATCTGCCCCTAATAGGCGTCACTAAACCCGGCTGCACGATTGTAAACATTTAGCGTAAACCACAGCTCACCAGACCATGTGGGGTGGGGGAGGTTGCGATATGCCTAGAGAGGAAGAGAGGGGACTGCAAGGCGCGCTTACAGCTTGTTTTCTAACGTCTCCAAGAAGAGAATTATATATATATATATATATATATATATATATATATATATTTATATGGTGGGAAATGGACCCCTTCCCATTACCATTTCCTGGCAAATCCACCGTTGCGGAGTTTCTTTGACGAGAATCGAGAGAAGGGAATAAATTAGGTTTTGGTGGTAGCCAGCTGAGTGTCTCTTTGGGATGTTTATTTATTAAAGATACTTCGTTTCTAGCTCCCCACCTCCAAATTTTGCAAATTTGAAATGTGTTTTTATTCTTGATGAATTAGATCTAGATCTAGTTAAAACTCATGGTTTATTAAAATTCCAGTTTTAATCACATTCAAAGGGGAACAAACAAATAATTACCACACAAGGCAGGACGCCTGAGTGGCCGCTAATTTATTTTCGTTGATGATATGATTTAAAAGAATGTAGGATGGGAGGGGAAATTTTCAAAAAAAGGATAATTTACCCACCCCTGATCAACTATACTTCTACATGCACTTTATATAAAGCTAGTTTATCAGAAAACTTGTTTTGTTCAAGTTAAATCTATACGCAAAACGGTTTGGACTATAAACTTGTGTTACATAAAGATTTGCCTAAAAAATGCAACAAAGAATGCGGAAGTTGTAGGCCCATTCTGTTTACTTCCAGGACAATCGCACATGCGCATTGAGCCTAGTTAACCAGTGGGAAAAAAAAAATCAACATACGATATTCAGTAAATTACTTTCGTGGTTTGAACGAAGTGCCTTCTTTATAGACGTTCATGTCCTTCGATACATAAAACATGTAGCTCCAATTAAACTATAATTGGGTTTTTTGTTTTGATAATATTTCTTGTATTAAGTCAGTTATTGTCAGTCGGAGATTTCTGTCGCAGACTAGTTTTTCTGTATTAAATTATTAAAAAATGGCCGCAGCCGCCCCACAAGCTGACACAGTCTCCCATGTATCTGAAGCATTCAGCGGTCAAGATATGGATGGGGAAGGTACGTTTTTATAATATAATGCGAATCAAATTTAACTCATAAAATAATTGTTGTAGATCTCTCTCTACTTCGTTAAAAATAAACTGAAATATTTTAAAATTAATTTATTTTTTTAAAATAAGGGCTCAAAAAACCCTCAATCAGACAGCTAGAAGATCTATCTCAGCCAGTCACTAATTCAACTCAGTTGACACTTGAATATTGAGTCTTGACAGACTGAACTCCTTATAAAAACCAGTCACAAAAAAACAATGGGTCGGGTAGAATTAGCTGTGCTATTAATTATTATATAACTTAAGTTTTTGGAGGATGGAATCTTCTTAAATAAGTTAAAGCTTTTTAAAGGCCCTGCCCTGGCCTAAGGCAGTGGTGTTAGTTTTGACTTTTCTGGAAGTTAACTGAAATACAAACATGGCTTGCTAATGTTAATGCAATCCTTAATGACAACTCTTGTTCTATCAAACACTTAACCCTAATTTCTTAACATACAGGCCCTAACTATTCAAGATAACAATACAACTAACAACCTAACGCCAGTAACTGCTGGCAGTAACAGTAACACACAACACTATGTGTGCGTGGTATGTGGCCTGACAGACTGAAAGATTGTTAATATCATTGTTTTGAGTTTATACTTAACTCAATGCAACAAGCCCGCCGTTTGGTTGAGGCCACGACGGGGGGACGTTCTGACCGGGATTCAAAGGGACGACTCGAAATATGATCCGAAACTATTTAGACTAGTATTTCGATGTCTTGCCTTATGACTTATCAGATAAAGCTAGAATATAGTAACTTGTAAGTTCAATTCCTGCTGTAGGTTTTCTCCAAGTCCATTTAGCTTGATTACAACTTGGCTATTATGATGTTAACTTGGCTTCTTTCAGGGATAGTAAATTGTAAAGGCAGCTTTTCATAGTTCTGACATAGACCATGCTATCACATTAAAGAATTAGTAGACATGTTAACAGCTTTTAAGCTAGGGTATTGGAAAACTCAAAATGTATGCTCATATACATTCAGTAGGCCTATACATACAAAAGTGTATTTTAAAATACCACTCTTTTTATTATCTGAATTATTTTAATAGCAGCCTCCATGTATTTTTAGATTGATATTTTTATTTATTAGGCCCATATCGTTTTGGCCAAGTTTATCTGTGACTCTCCTCTGTCTTTGCACTAAATTTGGTTATAAAATAAGTGCCCTTTATGGCATTAAATTAGCTGTGTTTCTTGATGGAGAACTACAGTATTGTCTACGATAATTTTGTATTTTGCAGATCTTAGCTACAGTGGTAGGACAGTTTTGATAATCATTCCTTTTCCCCGTAATCCTTACCTTCATCCGTCATTATGTTTTGCTCTTTTGCTGACATCAGGTTTGAAAGCAGAATCCACCAGTTTAGTTTGTTCTATTTTTGAATTCTTCATTTGTGTTTAAAAAAATAAAGCATTTGAGTTTATTTGTAACTATATTTTTGAAATTATCAAGTCTAAATATTTGGTTCTTACTAAATAGCCACACCTACTTATTCATAAAGCTGATGACCAAGCTTCAATCCTTGGAGGAAAGATTATGTTTGTAGTTATTTAAGATGTATGAATATGTAGGTATGGTTAATCAATGAGTACCTACAATTTGTTGTTGAATTTTATTGATTCAATAAGCTTAAAACTTGATATCTTCCAAAGTTTCATTTTTGTGTATTGTTAAATTAGTTCAATCTGAATGCGTGGACTCTGCATCAAACCTGGTTTGTTTGATTTGTTTTATGTTTTGTCTTAAGACATCTGCCTTTTGGGTTACAGTTAACTTTTCTATAGCTTGGTAGCAAACAATTTTGAAAATGTTGTCATGGTTGACATTTACAAAGGGACAAGTTGATGGGTATGCTATTTGCAAATGTCATTGCCATGTTTTTTTTGGTCAGCTAATTTTTATTTGCCATGTTTTATAGCAGGTTTGTTTCAGGTGTCCCTGCATTCAGACTTCATGGTGTTGAAAGTTATATTGTTCTCTTTATTAACACCACTGATTTTGAATGTTCAGGGTTATTTTTATTTACTACTTTAAAAAAAAAATTGGCTAGTAACTGATCCTTAGGGGGTCATTGTTGGTAAATGCCATTGGGGAGGGGGTGTAAATTGGACACTTATTGTTAATATTCTTATTATAATACACTTAACAACTAAAGGCTTTTCTAATATTTTCTTTATGTTTAGTTATTGATAAAAGTGCATTTTGTTTGTGTCTTGAAATATTGGGTTTCATATACTTGGCTATTTAATTTTTAAGGGAAAGTGCTCATTATTTTATCTTTTTTAAAAAAATAATTTCACGTCTAATACTTAAAAAAAAAACATTGTAACTTGTGGCACAATCAAAGTTAATTATTTTGGTGTCTTGAAAACAAGCTATTTGCCATTTTTATTTATTTTTTATTTTTAACCTTTTCAATTCATTACTGACATTACCCTCAAGGCTTTTATAAATTCCAAGTTACAGCAACTGCGTTTATCATACATATTTATCCACAATTTAAAAAAAATAGCAATTTATTATGCTTGTGCATGTTCGCTAATATTTAAAACCCTTCAAAACTGGTGGGTTGGGGGTTAGTATTGATAATTAAATTGTATCGAGTGATAATCCTTATCTACTGCACTGTTGACTAAAATATGTATTGTGCATTTTTATATATGCAGATTTTATTTTTGTTTTAATGTGAGCATTAAGTTAAGTTAACATGATGTGGACATCCACATAGATCCAAAAGGCCCTTGTCCGCAAATGTTTACTTTTTTTAAAACTCACCTTTCCTGAGTTTTTATAAGCATTTTATGAATTAAATTGTTGAAAATATTCAAATATCGATAAATTACGCTTATACAGTTTTTAAAGTATAAATTGCTAATTTCTTTTTCAGAATTAATTTTAAATTTGTTATGAAAGTATAGTTTCTTATGTGTGTAATCTTGCAATGTACTCTGATTGTTGGTTGAAAAAAAAGATTGTGGTTCTGGCAAAAAAAAAATGCAAGAGTTATTAAAATTTGATTTTTTAGACTTAACAAACAGTTAATGATGGGAACAATAGCAAAAGGTGTACTATTGTTAGTGTTTAAAGATTAATGTATTAAATTGTATGAGTGAGTTTTTTTTAATATAAATTCATCTTAAACAATACAAAATGTTTATTTAGGCAATTTAGAAACCCCTTTTTTGTTATAAAGAATAATTTATAATTCCTTATTATATTTTCCTATTATAGCAATGGTACATTTCAAAATGAAATCAAATGTTTTAAAATCCAGAAGTCAACTTTCTCCACTGAGCACTTACCCTTAAATGACTTAAAAAACCATTAGTGTGAGTACTTGTAACCCCTTTCTCACTAATGAGTTGGGGGTTCTCCTGGGATATTCCAGAGTTGAGGGGTTCTCCTGAGATATTCCAGCAACAGTTTGAGCCCAGCCTTTTGGTCATGCTCTACTGGTTAACTCTAGATTTGTCTTCTTTATTACTTGTTGTCATGTCTAGATCCATAATATACGAGCACAATCACTGCATCAGGATGTATAGAGTAACATTATTTTTTATGGTGCTTTTAACCTATGTCTATTGTCTTTTCTCCTAGAGCTATTTTGAACTTGTTTTTCTTTTATTTTTCCCCACAGAAAATGAAGACAGCAGAATGGATGTAAGTACATTTTAATATTAACTAAAAATGTAGAATTTAATTATGCCCACAGCTAGGTAGACATGAGGGGTTACATTGTTTGATAAAACAGCTGTTCCTTTATCAATTTTTATCATTTTACATCTGCTTTTACTTGTTACATTTGCACATTGTTTTTACAGTTAAAATGGTTTTTGGTATAAGGAATTTTACCTGCGTTTGTTGCTCTAGTGTAACAAATGCTCTTACAGTTTGTTTACTTATTACTGCAGCTTTTCTTTCTAATCTAGTGTTAATACTATAGTTCTACATTTGAATTTGGGTAGAAATAGAAAATCTGTTTTTTTTTTCTTCTTTTTTTGCGTAGACAGCTATAATTGTTATTGATCAGGTCTATATTTGGACTGTCAAGAAATTGTGCTTCCATAGGTTGAGGACATTGATTTCAGATATGAAAAGCTAGTTATTTACTTAGCATTTTGCTGAATCTAATTTTTACCTAGACAAACTACATCTTATTTTTGGTGTTGCATTTTTTTTTACTTTCCTTCCATTGCTAGGTTTATACAATAATATTTTTGACAAAATCTGTCCAATGTGTAGGCCATTTTCTTCCCATTTACATTGAAAACTGGTAAAAACCTTGTTACTTTCAAGCATTTTCTTACCTTTGATTAATTTCTTCAATGCGGCAGCTTAATATTTTTAATAAATCTGGTGAAAGCTGTCCATTGCAGAAATCTGGTGTTCTATTTCTCTTGCCCCCGTCTATTTTCCCCTTGATGTATTTCTTGTAGTTTCTCTTGTCCCTGTCTATTTTCCCCTTGATGTATTTCTTGTAGTTTCTCTTGCCGGTCTATTTTCCCCTCATCCATGTAATTAAATCATTTAGCCTGTCAGCTTTAAGTATTGCAAATGTTTAGGAAAAAATCCTTTGTAGTTTTATATGGGGCTTTCCCAATCAGTGGTTTTTTGTTTTTGTTCTCATGAATCTCACCAGACTTTTGAAGCTAATGAGAAGATCTGTCTCAAGTAGTTGGCCTTGCTTTTTATTACAAAGTTGAAAGCAACTTTTAATGTGTTTTTTAGTTTCATTGATTTTAAAGTTAATAGTGTGTGTTTTTGCATTGGTTAGTTGCATGAGTCTCTATGAGATGAACACTAGCCATTTAGATATCTGGAGAGGCTCAAATATGACTTCTTCAAAACCCTATAGCTTGCATCTGATGGTTCTAGTATAAATGTGTCATTACTACTTTAGCACATATTCAGGGTTAAGGTGGAGTTGACTTTTAGTTCAGTGTAGGTGTTATATGTAAGTTAAGTGATTAACATTGTTGTATAAGAACTCACACGGTTTCATTGTTTTATAAGTCTTTCATTAAAAAAAAAGTTAGCATTTGTCTAGTTTTTTTTTTGTATACTGATATGTAGTGTTGTTTTTTTCTTTTTATAATAGAGTTTGGGGTCTGTGACCTATATAGTGGTGGGTTTCTTGTTGGGTGTCTTTGATTAGTGTTGTGACTGCTATGTTTGCACTCTTGGCCCTGGTACATTTGTTTTTTCTTACAGCCAGCAAATGGTTTCAATTGAGCATGTGTTTGCCAGTGTCTGAGTGTGTGTGAGAGGGCTGCCGTTTTGTGGCCAATGGTGTTTGTAATATGGTGTGAGTGGCTGTTTAAAAAGCAGGCTTCCTGTGTTGAAGTGAAGAGAAACCTGGCTTCAGTTTGTTTCATTTCTCCCTTGCAGGCTGGTCAACATGCCAACTCCCTGCGAGACAAGGACAGAAAGATTGGACACAGGAGAGTGGACAAGTCTGGAATTGTCTCGTACAAAAAGGTATGTCTGTGGTTTCTACCTGTATAAAGTGATTTTCTTGGGATTTATTATATATGCTCGTTTAAGGTAAGTTTTTTGTGGTCTAATACTGCGTTTACACTTGCGACATGTATTTTCTAGGAAAAAAAACTTCGCTATAGGGTCTTAGATAATAGGGGTGCCTACTCACTATTGCGAAGTTTTTTTTTTCTAGACGTGTATAGTATACATGTCGTAAGTGTAAACGCGGTATAAGACTGAAAATTGTTGTGTTGTGAATGGGTAGTATGTGAACATAATGAAGTTCATCTGTGATTTTCTTGGGATTACCTGCTATATACAGACATGAAAAGGTAAGTTAGTTGTGGATGGTAATGGGGACCAAGATGGTAAAGACTATGAAACTGGTGGTCTTTGAGTGAGTAGTGTCATGTTAAGATAGTGAAGATGTCCAGAGGTGAGAGACAGTGAGTCTGTAGCTGCTGTGTGAGGTAATATTGACACAAGACTGACCACTCTAACAGTGTGTGAACAGTCACATGCCTGCCATGTTTACCTTGGTTACTGCACAGCCTATTTATCTTTTTTTTTTCCTCCTCTTCCTCCTAACATAGCCACCAGGTGCGGTGAAATGTTATACCTGTTTGATTTTTACATTTTTTATAGTCTGTTTCATTTAACTTCTTTCCTAACATGCATTGCAAGTGTGCAATAACATGCATTGCAAGTGTGCTATTTAGAAATGTAAACTCAATACTTTAAACTCAAGTTTTACTTCTGCCTGTCTTGTATCTCATGATTAATAATACCTATGCAGTTTTCTGTCTTGACTCTTTAACAATGGTTTGTACCTACCAGAGTTTCTTTCAGGCATCTCTTCAGGGAGGAAAAAGTCTGGTAGAAACACTGGTATCTACCATTTAGTAACCCAGCTGTTTGTATAGGCTGTTCTATCAGTGGTCCAGTCCTTACCAGCTGGCAGTTCTATCCTTTGTTCTAGCCAGCTGTCTGTATTAACTGATCTATCTCTAGCTCTAACCAGCTATTTGGCTGTTCTATCAGTGGTCCAGTCCTTACCAGTTGGCAGTTCTATCCTTTGTTCTAGTCAGCTCTCTGTATTAACTGTTTTATCTCTAGCTCTAACCAGCTATTTGGCTGTTCTATCAGTGGTCCAGTCCTTACCAGTTGGCAGTTCTATCCTTTGTTCTAGTCAGCTCTCTGTATTAACTGTTTTATCTCTAGCTCTAACCAGCTATTTGGCTGTTCTATCGGTGGTCCAGTCCTTACCAGTTGGCAGTTCTATCCTTTGTTCTAGTCAGCTCTCTGTATTAACTGTTTTATCTCTAGCTCTAACCAGCTATTTGGCTGTTCTATCAGTGGTCCAGTCCTTACCAGTTGGCAGTTCTATCCTTTGTTCTAGTCAGCTCTCTGTATTAACTGTTCTATCTCTAGCTCTATGCAGCTATTTGGCTGTTCTATCAGTGGTCCAGTCCTTACCAGTTGGCAGTTCTATCCTTTGTTCTAGTCAGCTCTCTGTATTAACTGATCTACCTCTAGCTCTAACCAGCTATTTGGCTGTTCTATCAGTGACCTCAGCTCTCTGTATTGGCTATTCCATCTACCTTTGCTTTATGCTACATTTACCCTTTTGTTCAAAACTTCAAGTCTCTAGAGTTAGCTCATGTATTCTGTTCAATTTTCTTCCATTATTTATGATTGAAATGGGTTAATATATAAACTATCCTCCCTCCTTGCCTCACTCCCCCCCCCCCCCCCCTATTGTTTTCTTTAAGTCTGGATCTACCTGTTTTGTTGAAATAGGATGCCCTGACACACATTTAGCTGGTCTGAGTGAGTGGACCAGACTGGCCTTATCTTCTTGTAGAAACAATAACATGAGCACTTTAGCTAGAGATAGGTTAAACTGTGGATACAAGCTTTAATTACACTCATAGAAGAGTATAGGGAGATTAAGGTGGTGTTTGTTATATTTATAAAAGGAGGTGTATTTAATATATATAATGTATATTTTGTATATGTATATATATATATATATATATATATATATATATATATATATATATATATATATATATATATATATATATATATATATATATATATATTCAGCCCCATATATATATTCAGAACCAGTGCTTATCGTATTTCTAAGTTGCTGTCTCCCCTTTGCAAATATTTATATGATGTAAAGTGGGTTGAAAATTTGAAGTATGTAGCCTGCTTGCAGTATTGTATTGTTTTATGATTGAAGTTAATAAATACTAACTGGCCGCCTGCAATCGACTACATCCCTGTAATCAATAATTAATGAAAGAGGTTATTAGTAGAGGGGGGACGGGACGGTAAAACCTCGCTAAAGGGAAAGAACGTTGCGAGCGAAAAATCTATTTCGGTGGCCTCTTTTTTTTTGTGTGCTTTGTTTTAAAGGTCATTTAGTAGAGGAGAAATGTTTATTAAATGGTGGAAGAGAGGATTTAGCCATGCAAATAACAGAGCGGGCGAGTGTAATGCGGCGGAAGGGACGTAACAGTGTAGGATGTCTTCAAAGGGGGTACCCTGGCCAGAGGGGCGGCGGGCACATGCCGTTTATTTGCACAATTTTAGTCTACCTGGTGGGTTAATTGGAGGCGAATGTGTGTATGATGAACACGTTGCTGTTTACGTTTTGTGTAAGCTGATACTCAGGTTATCTCATTGTTTCAGCGCAGTGTACGGGTTGGTGGTTTAATTGTTCTTTAAATTCTCCACACAATGTGCAGGGTGCGTTCATGTCCGCTAAAGCATGGGGGAATCGTGTGTCATGTTTCCTAGAATGGCTTGCATTTAAGTCCGTTTCTTCTATGTTGTCTTAATTGGTCCCTGTTCACTTTTTGTGCGCCTATTAATATCTTGTTAATGCTAGCGGAAGATGTATTACAGAGCTTTTTATAATCGAAGTGCCCTAGTTTGTATATATTCCCCCCCCCCCCCCCCCCCCCCCCAATTTTTTTACTTGATTTATATCTCTAGTCTTACAAAAAGATGTTTATTCATTCCTTCGAAGGACTCCATTCCTGTTCTGTAATTGAAGTAACACATTTCAGTGATTTAGTTTATGGTATCTGCCGCCTTGTTCACATCAGTTTAAATGACACTCCCATTTGTTTCGATGTCCACCCATTAGTTCCAGCCTAATAGGTTTAAGTATTTCCGTCCTATATGTGTTTTGATGTCCCTAGCCTCGCCTTCACCTTTGGTTAGTGTCAGTCTCTGTACTTTATCAGTTTATCGACCCTAGTCGCGCACAAATTTAATGTATGTTTACAAGCCCACCGCCTGCCTCTCATGGCTAAGTGACAGTCGTATGTGTTTTGATGTCCCTATTCCCTCCCCCTTATTTGATTAGCTACTGGGCTCTGTACCTTGAGTCCTATCACTGATACCAGTCCTATGTTTAATCTATTACATTCTTGCACACGTTGTGTGTGTGTGTAGTCAACAGTACAATCTGTGTCATAGTATGTCGTAATACCAACTTGAGACTTCATTGTAAATGTGATTGCTAGGAAACTTCGATCAGAGAATGAACACCTGCTTCATGCGTCCATAACACTTCATACTTAAGGTTGAAATAAACCAATATTCTTTCTTGACTGAAATAATTCTATCAGTTCTATCCCCATGAGGTTTTTTTTTAATTAACTTTCCAAATCCAAGTTTTGCCTTTTTAATTGGATAATTTGCTGTTCGTAGTTTTCATGTTTTCTACTAATGTGTGCAACACAGTGACGTAATGAGGCCGGGTGCAGTAACTCTCGGTATACCCCACGACAATACTACATGCACATACTAAGACTATAAATGATATGGTTGTCTTACTGATTCCCGATGGTGTCACCATGAACCTAAATATGTGTACAACTTTATTGATTTTTTAAATTAACGGGACAAGGCAGATTTTATCATTCAAATTTTTCGTTTTTGGAACCCCATCCGCTCTACCCGCCTTGTGACACTTGTTAAATTACTACTGTTTTTTTTTACAATGCCGTGTTTATAGTGTCTCTTCCCCCCCCCCCCCTCTACAAGCTGGAACAGCTGTAAATGCTTATACGACCTGTAGAGCGTTAATGAATTCTGTTTCCCCTTGCATTAAGCCTGAAATTGTATGCAGATCTATTCGCCAACAAGCAGGCGATTTTGTCCCAGTTTTTGATTAGCATGGTGTGTGCCCTGTGGAGGTAATAGTACATCCGTCATTTGCTGCCCGTGTTCACGTGTGTGGTTTGATAAACATGTTTAGAGTGCATGGTTGACTGGTTCTAGGGCTGTCATCTCCGGTGAAGCTATCCATGTTAGATGTCTTAGGTTTTAGTGTCCATGTTATGTCAGTTATGGATATTTTTTTTCTGTGTACAGTGTACACGCCTCTGTATCACCTGTACTCGTTTTTCTTTAGCGTGTACACGTGTTTTGTGTAGGTCTGTTTTGGTATTTTCTATGTATTCTGTGCTTAATTCTGTATAAAATATCCTTATTTTTAAAATAACGTTTTATATAGCGTGTATATGCTTTTGTTTGGTTGTGTATCTTTTGTATTGTTTGTAGGTTTCCATATATAACACTTATATTCTCTTCTGTGTTGGGTTGTCCTTACATTTTGCAACGCAGTTTAAACCGAATTTATCTGTTCTTCCTACATCGTCAGAAAAAAGTCATTTATACTTTTTTTATAACTCCACCCTCAAACGAATTAACGTTAAAGAACGTCACTAAATTCCATGTACAGACCTTTCCCTTCCACTCCCTACCAAAACAATTCGAACGGTGAAATTAATTACTTTTTGTTTTGTTTTTGCAAATGATATATATTCTACGTCACATATTTCTTAACCGTCATTACACAATGTTACGACCCACCCTTTCCCCTCCTGTGTATGTGACGTCATAATGCCAGACTATTCTGTGTACACTGCCAGCCTTGTGCAACTGGCTCATGTACCAGATAAGTGTTTGATCGG